CCGACTCGGAAAGGGGATATTAGTGATCTTAGATGAAAGCTAGAAAAGAGGGCCGACACATTAACTGACCTTGCTGAGAGGGGGGCACTGTTTGTCCTGTTCCATTACTACTTTTTACATCATTTCGTGGAAAGTACTTTTCTCGCCACCAGGTCAGTGCAAGAACAGTTGTATCGTGGCCAAGATATTACCGAACCATTAAACCTTTGCAACAGAAATGGCCTCTCCGAGTAAAGGTTTTTTTTCTTGGTGCAGATGCATCAGAATTGCTGCCAGACTGCAGTACAGAATGGAAGTTTGAGCGGCTACTTATTGTGTTAATGATTCCTCGTCCTTTTAAAAGTCATCATCCTCATTTATAAGTGAAGTTACCGAGGAAGGAAGGCCCCCTAGAGACTGCATTCATCAGAAATCCCTCATGGTGAAGGAGAAAGATGCTTCATCAGAATGAACCCTAGACAGCTCAATGGAGGACAAAGAGGACCTTAGAGAGGCTGTGTCTTTATGGGTGAACTAGAAAGTGTGCTTTTCAGTTAGGCTTGTTTCCTTAAAGTCTGTTTAACAAAAGCAACAAGTGATGCCTAAGGCCACAAGCTGGAGACGCCTGTGAGAATATGGTACACGTGTACATTGAGTAGAAAAACATTTTCAGAAATGATAATGAACATTATATCAAATATAAGTTGATATTGACTGGTTTGATTTCTAACAGGTTGGGATCCACAGTACATTATGTGCCTACTTAGTATCAAGATCACCTTGTTTACGATGCGCTCTCGTTGAACATTTCCTGGTGTATATAATTAGACGTTATGCAAAATAAATCAGGTTTAAAGTCTGTGGCTTTTTGGGCCAAACTCTTAAAAGTCAGCAAGTCAGAAATCCAGGAAGAAACACATCTTTGCACAGCGTAATAGTTTTAAATCAGTTGTTGATAAGAATCTGGTTTAAGATTTTATTGATGTGCCAAATTAAACTTTTTTAAAGGATTCGTGGTGAACTTTTTCTCATGGGAGTGTATGAAACTTTAATCTCCTCCTGGCACGTCACTATATTATAACATTAGCATGTGGCCTGTGTGGTTAGTATTACGTTCTCCAACGAATTACAGAAAGAAATTGGCGTAACAAAAATTGGACAAACATTAGACTTTGGCAAGCCCGAATCTTGCCTGGTGCGCACAGATGAAGCAGTGATTGCAGACATTGATGGTTAGTTTGCACCCTTAAAGTGAAATGTCTATTTCTTCAGAATTCTGTCTTTTTTTAAATGCAAAACTTTAATTAAGCTTGGTGGAGAAAAGGAGACGCATTTGTGACAGAGATTGAAGCATAAAAAGAGATAGGAATTTTTAATTAAAAACTAAAGAGGGGGATTCTGCACAACATGAGGAAGCAATTTGAAATGTGAATTTACAACCTACTGTGTGTTTTCCTGTCTTTGCATCATATGCCAGTGTTTATTTACCCAGCCGCAGTGTGGCTGCCTCCTATTATATAGTTTGTTAAGTTTTGTTTCTCTGAGTCTCAGACTTTGCTGTAGATCATAGGAAACACTGAGGGGTTGCTGCTCCAGGGCTTTGAGACTCTGCCAGGATCTGGAGTTAGAGACAGAAAAGAACAAAAAAGAATGAAAGAGCACTTTTTTCCACTAGGCCCCGCAGAAAACAGATAGATGCTGATAAATTTATAAGCATCTGTGCAATAAAAACTTACTTTTCCTCTTTTCCTGGTACCAGAACTTATGGGTCCTTTGAGAATGAGCTGTTCTAATTAAAATACCTACATTGGCAAAATCATTAAAACTAGGCCTTCTGTGCACCAAGGTACCCCTGAAAGTAAATGCAAGGGAATAAATGAATAACTAGACTAAAGATTATTAAGCATCCTCACTGTTTTTTTTTTCGGATTCCAAGAAGGGCTTGTTTCATGAACAGCCTGTCAGATATTTCTTACAGAAATGTCTTGCTGGTACGAAGTCAGAGGTGGACGAAATCTAACCTTGTCCTGATGTCTCCTAACAATTTCAGATCAAGTCTCAAGCACCGTAAAATGAAATGTTGCAGGAGAGGCCAGAACCGGATCTCTGACCTTTCTAAAGCGGGAGGCAGTAGCTTCTCTTTATTGTTGATGATGTCACCACATGACAGTTATTGACGTTACTGCACAGAAGGGATTTTAATTTATCTCATACTTGGTTTGTACAAGTAACAGAAAAATATATAGAGGAGACAAGACGGTTGAACAATCGAAAATAAAGGCATGACAATAAAATGGGAAGGACATGACAGTCCCCTCATTGGGAGTTTTTTTCTCTTGATTTCACTTGATTGTACTCAAGGTGCAACGTTTCTGTTTATACTGGGCTTTTAATTTCAACCACAGTGCTTAACATCAAAACAGCAATGGGCAGTATGAGTTAAAGTAGTTTAAGACAATTTGTACAAGCTGTACTGTAAACAGTAGCAAGAGCATGATCATAATGACATCCACTTAAAGCTTAGGGTCTAGGTGACTTTAAGAGTCTGGATGACATCATCTAGGCTGAGATTATATGGGGGGGAAAATTGAATTCCAGAAGGAATGAGCTGATTTGTCCAGTACATGCTGACCAGCTGTGAGATAAGGTACATCACATCATTTTTTTTGTAATTGTCATACAAGTTCATCAAATGACACTAGCAAGCAGGAATACTGTAATTGTTATGGGAATAAAATCTCGCTTGGAGCGCAGCTCTGTGATTTTTGTCCCTTTTTTCTTGTTCTGTAAGGGTATACTGTGGTTAAAACCGTTTCTCCTCAGTGTTTCTCCGAAAAGACACACTTGTTGTGTGGTTTCGGGATCTGTTGGCAGGTTCCCCTGCTCGCTTTGATTTGCGTTGTACTAGCTGGTATAACGCACAAAGCCTTCTTCTTGTATTTTATACCTGTGTCTATAAAAGCAGTGGCCTTCACAGTGAATAACTTAAAGCCACCTTCATTTTACTCGTGTTCAGGTCTGCTTTGGTCAGGTCAAAGAAACGAGAAAGGACAAATAACCCCGTTGCTAATGGTCGATTAAAAAAAATCCCTTTATTAAAGTTCACATCAAGCTAACGAAGTCATTTTATCATGTTGTATACCATACAATTGCCCCCGTACACACACATTCACATACAAATTAGTTCCTTGTTTACGTTTCTCAGACTTGTGTTAAGACATTGCAAGAGTATGGCACTGATTGGGAAATTGTAGCAAAACTAGCCTAGAAGTATCTGGAATTGTAGTGACAGCTGGGACGGAGAAGTCCGGAAGGTAACAGATTTTCTTTTTCTCTTTTAAGTAGATGTAACGGGTTTTATGAGTGCTCGGCATTTCGCTAGAACAGAAAACCATTTGCCAGCTATTTTTTTTTTAAATTACATTATTTACTCTTTTCCCGGGCGCGTCAAACCCTTGAAAGGTGCCGGTCTAATTTTAGAAATGATGTTCACCGGCACTTCCAAAATGACAAAGGGGTCGTCGGAGAACACAGTGCCGCGAAGAAATTAGTAGTTTTGAAAGCAGCTGTAAAATTCAACCGAACCACTTGAGGAGAGTGACGCAGTAATAACGGTGGGTTCCCAGTTTATAAATTGTTTCTAAAAGGCTTTTATTCCACTCTAATTACATAACCCTTCCAGAACACAGTCTGTTTTGTCTAAGAGTTCTTAACTGCATCACGTCTTTAAATTAAGTAAAACAAAGTCTTAGAATCCATGTGAAAAACGTCCACCTGTTCTTTAACGCTTTCATGTGTGTTTCTGCTGTTTTCGCTTATTAGTCGGCTTTTCACATTGCACTTTTTGACACCTTATAAATGACTAGTTGACTAGGTACCGGATTGTTTTTGGTTAACAAAGGTAAAAAAGTTTCAACGGAACAAGAAAGGTGTTAAGCCAAATCTAAAATAGTGTAGCCCAATGGAATCGTTGCTAAATCGTTTTTTATTAGTAGTAGTCAGTCGTAGCATCGAATTTAATAATAATAATAATAATAATAATAATAATAATAATAATACAATTGTAAGTATTTTTGTCAAACGTTAAGTCTGAATTAGTGCTTGGTGAGAATCGAGAAACCAACAACAGGTTGTTTTTTGAAAAAAAAAAGATCAGTAATAAAATTAACACCAGTGATTGATTTTCGATTCTAAGGTCTCGCTCCGGGAGGCGTAGAGGTTTTAATTTGCGGGGATAAGAGGAAATTAAGCCAAATGCTGTTTAAAAAGTCGACAGAAAAGCTGGGACGTGTTTTTACAGTGTCCGCAGCTGTTGTCTTCAATAACCACAGCCGGTGTCGGAGCACGCGGCCTGCATCCCTGTCGGGTGCAACGCGATCTCTCCGACATAAACCTGCAGCTCATAGCTGTATATTTATTCAATTATTCAGTTGCCGTAGAACTTTTTTTTAAAAAAAAATCTTATTTCTTGCAGGTTTGAACCCCCCCCCAACAGAAATCACTTCTCATCCCGGGTTTATTTACGCACAGCAAAGACAAAAATAAAAGCTGTGGAAAAAAAAAAACCTTGTTTTTTTGGAAAAAAAAAATGGTTATCCAAGGACTGATTAGATGACACGCAGAGTGTATTAAATTTTGCAGACATTTTAACAGCAATATGCAAGATAGTTAGAGTCCCCCGGGGCAGTAGGATTTTTTATATCCTTCACACAAGGTCAAAAACCCCTCTGCCTGTGTGTCTGTGTGTCAGAAGAGTAGAGGGAAAGGGCCATTGTACTGTAGTGACTTGGGAGAGAAGTACAGAAGCAAAGCTAGGGCATTTTTCGGTCTCTTGTTCTGTGGAACTATCGGTTTTAATTTCACACTCCGTCTAGCCTATATAGCAGCGCAGAGTTTTGTTGTTGTTGTTTTTTTCTCCAAACGCACGTGAAAAACGAAGAATAAAATACGGGGGTGGTGGTGCTGGGGGTGGGGGGTACAGAAAACCGTAGGTGAAATGGGTCTCTTTTCTTTAAAAAAAGGCAGGAAAAAGAATCCATCTGGCCCATGAATAATTTAGATGGCTCGAGCCGGTTCCTGTTGCTGTTCTGTTTGCGCTCCGCTCTCCCCTCTGACATCCCTCCCGAGGCGTCTCGGCGCTCTGAGGTAAGTAGGACCAGATACATCCGAGGCAGTCGGGGATAGGAGTGTGTGCACACCGAACAAGTTATTTTATTATTATTATTATTATCTTTTGCGGCTGTGGTTTTAAGCAGCGGTCTGTTTAACTGTTTCAAAGAGATGGGAGTTTTTAGGACCGGGGTGCATTTTAAAAAAAAAAAAGAGAGAAGCACTTTTCTTTATTTGTCCTAGTTTTTTTTTTTTAACGTTGTACGAAAAGTGTTGAAATCGCGGTTCGAGAACGAAACGGACCCCCGTCGCCTCCAGTTGAGGGTGCGAGTGCGCGTGGGTGGGGGGGGCGGGCGGGCTGTGCGCCTGGCGTGGGCGCGCGCGCCCCTGCTGTCACACGGGGGAGGTGCGCGCGCGCCTGGTGGTGTGCAGTCCAGCTGCCCAACTGGGCGACTGCATGCCTGTGCCCGGGCCCTGCTGGGGTCCACGACGAGATGCGTTGTCTTTTTTTGCTTCTTTTTCTTTTTTTCATCGCACGTCAGCATGTGCCAAAGACAGCCGTTGGACACACAGTTCAATTTACAAAATACATCAATATTAACCAACAGGTGATGGTCGTGGAACTACTGCACTGCTGTCTTTATTGGATTGATTCGTAAAATAATTTAAGACAGCATCTTCCGTAATCTGTTAAATACTGTTTTTCTCCGTTCAATATTTTAAATTTCCAGAGCTTCAGAGTGACGGAGCATAATGCTGGAGCTGGTAATACAATGAAAAGCTGACTTGTTCCAGTAGATTCAGACACTGGCCTGCATTACTGAGGTTATATCAGAGCTCTGCAGAGAAAGCCTCTGAGGCCTGATCTGCTGGCCTGCGCTGGTCACAGGTAGTAGCTCCTGCTCCATGCAGAGTCAGAGAGCAGCTCCTCTCTAATTGTTTTCCTGAGACTAATCCCCAAGGGTGAATGCACCACCACCAGTAGCAGGCCTAAGTGCTATTTTACAACATTTTCTTAAAACAAAATCAGTTGTGTGCAAGACGATGAAACTACTGCAGACTGGTGCATTGTGAACTGTTCTGGGTCTCGGCCTCCCCTAGTAAACTTGTCTGTGCAAGTTATAGCCTTGGTTTGGAAGGCAATAGCATTTTGTTTTAAACCATGCTAGGTTTAAAACAAAATGAGTATGTTTCCTTATTGAATGATAACATCTTTTGAATCCGTGCCTGTAAAGTTATACTCAGATTTCCAGCATATGTGGTGTTGGAAATGTCCATTCTCTCATGCATATGAAATAAAGACATTTGTGTTCAGCTATATAAAAAACATAATTATGCATATACTGTATCACTTGCAAGTTAAACATTGTGCAAGTTAAACATATGAATATTCTTTTCAGTGATAACTAAAAATACAGAACAACAGCATACAGTATTGAGTTTGTACACTTTCAAACACTGTGAGATTCTTCAACAGGTTTAAAGCTTTCCCTGGACAAGCAACAATTAAACTACTAGTTCCTGCTTCTTATTCTGCTTCTTTTTATTTAAATATCTGGGCTGGTGAGACACCACAAGGTTTTGCAGTTGGTAAAGTTTGTAAATAGTTTTTATACTTGAGATATTGCTGATAAATGTTTTCTGTTTTCTACTGTTGTTATGATGCATTAGTTATATATTTTGAATTAAACAAGGACAAGAACATGTACAAAATAAATGTATACTTTCGCAGACTTCAACACAAGCTCTGTAAGTGTTTTAAAAAATCCATTTGATGCGGTGTTTTTATCCCAGAGTGCCTGCTGTTCTTACGTGTCTACATATTGTGATTTACAAACTTACGGTACACCTCATTCAGCCTAATTACATGTTCACGCTTGTTTGAACTAAAATTAAACTCATTTTACAGCTACAATAAAATCATCAAAATATGGGAGCAAGTTCACTCCTGTTCCACAAAGTTATGTTGTTTTTCATTTTATAAAATGAAATTATCATTAAAACAGTGCGTCTGCTGAATGTGGTGTTTCTGCATTTTTTATATGTGTAAAAACTATAATTCCGAGGTCTTTCCAGGTCTAGATATTCATGACCATGATGTCAGTAACACTGAATTGTTAAACATGCATATTACAGTACTTTCTTTCTGGGTAAGTTCAGGGTGTTGACGAAGTCCATTTAGGGCTTTCTTATAGGACATTTCCAGTTATTCACCAAATCGAGTAGCAGATTGCCAGCAGATTTTGAGGCTGTTACTACAAATGATATTGCAAGCATTTTTTCTTAATAAGTGGACTATAAACTTAAAATGAATTAATTGCCAGTTGCCCAATAGAACATCAACATGTTAGCTTCTGTGTTGGTTGTCTGTTTTAGTAAAACATATTTCTTTGCAATTAAATCAGGAAGCTGATGTCATTAACTGGTTTCTATCTGAGCTTTTTTATGAGATTAAAGAAGAGTTGAATTTGCTTTTTGCTGACGTGTGTGGTAATACACTTTTACACTGTGAGTGACACGCACATAGTGAACGTGTCCTGCAGTGTGACATAGTTACGTCATCGGAGTTCAGTGGTCAGATATTTTCTTGATTCATTAAATCAATCAGTATGACATAGTAGTGTGGTTTTTAAACATTTTCCTTCTGCCATGTTCCACCTAAAACCAGATACTGTAGGTGTTCCCGTTGTCTTCGTACAGAAGGAAATAATTGCTGGCATCAGTTTTGGCTCGTTTCAAAATTATTCGATTTGCATTGAAAATATCCTCATATTTTTAGAGTTCTTGCGTTTGCGCTGCGATTTGTTTTTATTCCGTATATACTGTACGTATGAAAATATGCTCGGTATCTTGTTCTGCTGTGGCAATGAGGAAAATATTTGTGCGTATACACACCAAAAAGAAAGCAACAAAAGCCTTTTTTTTAAAGCATTACAGAGTGGAAAAACATGGAGGGAGAACCCCTTTGTGGTATTAAAATCTGATTCATTGATTTCCATCCCTCTGCTATTGTGTAAGGCAGAATCAAGGGCACACTAGAAATGGCTTAGGGAACAATGCATTCCTGCTGCAGGTGCATCAGCCCTTGCAAATACTCCCAGAACCAATTGAAAATCAATTGCCAGGTAAATTTTGGATCCATAAAGGGTCAGTGTAAATATCTGAATATCCCGCTAATGTTGGACTGAGCTGGGACCTTCCTGGACCCTGGTGCTTGTTGGCAGGGGTGCTGAAACTCATCCGTATCAGTTAAAGTAATCTGGGTCAAGTCGATGCTGTATCCCTCAGGCCTTTCCTAAACGCCCTTCAGGCACATCTGGAGCCAGATGTGAGGTCCTGAGTTTTGCAGAGCTCTTCCGTGCCTCAGAAGGAAACAAACAAAACAAAATGAATAACACAGGGATAAAATGAGCTCAGAGCAAAAGGCATCTTTTCCATCTAAGTGCAGGGGCTCTTCAGCCCTTTTCTGGTCTGGTAGAAGGGTTCACCAGTCTGAAAAAAAAAAGACACAGCAAGAAACTTGTAATATTGTAATGCTCAAGCTGATGGTTGTGATTGCTTTTTAATGTTATTTTTAAATAAGTGGGGCCACCAGATTCGGTCAAGGCATTTCCTGTTGACACACGGTAAGCAGAAGATCGAGCAAGGAAGTGGGCTGACACACTCGGAGAAATGCTTCTAGGCTTTTCCCGAGGCTAGCTCCCCATTTGTGAATCCACTGTACTATCTGCACTGGATTTACAAGACCTACACTGCTGGGGTGTCCCAGCAAAAGAAGACTAAATTAAGAAGGGAAAGCGTGGAGGTTGTTCCCTCTCACTCTACCTGTCTAGTTCTTCACAAGCCATGTTTCTCGATTTAACAGCCAGAAATACAACGACCCCCCCCACACACGCTAGAAAGCCAGACCATTGCATGTTGAGTGCCCAGAATTGCAGATCGCTCTTCGTATAGGTGCTTTAACTACTGCACCTTGCTGATGGTTATAAGAGCCCTGACCGCCATGGCTTCAGCAACTTAACACCCACAAGCCTCTGCTACCCACAAGCCTCTGCTACCCACAAGCCTCTGGGTCATGAGCCCCAACTGTTACACCACACACTCTTCTCACTTCAGGAGCAACTGCTCCCCTTTCTCCTGGGCCCGGTCTGCATGCTTGTGATGGTTAATGACAAATATAAAGTCCAACATCAAATCTGTCAGCGGCGAACCCTTACTACAGCACGGCGGAACCTTGTTCCCCCGTAACGGAAACGCGGCTCTGAATGCTAAACATTCAGATCACATCACGGCGTTGAATGCTGTACACCTGCTGTGCTCTCATCACCATGCTTTTTCTTTCTGCTTTTAGGTTATGACATGATTGTTAAAGAGCAGACTTTATATTGCATTTATGTGTCAAGAGAGAGGTGGAGGTTTCTCATTCTTGTGCAGTACTGGAATGTTTGTAGCTGGTATTCCTCGTTAAACATATTTGTGGTATTCTGTTAACATTGACTAAGAGAACTTAAAAAAAGGTTTTTCCTAAAGTGATTTTCATAGAATAATTACTGCTCAATTGCGAGAAGAGCTGACCTGCATGTGGCCTTCTCTGCACTAAAGTTGCAGGGGAAAGAGGTGTTCAAAATGAGAGAGAGCCTACTTGAACGTTGCTCCTGCTGAACAATCAAAACCGATGTGGGAGTTATTTAGCAATTATGCATGTTCAGAAATAGTATTAATTGCCTTTTATGAAGTTGGCATGAGGTCATATTTGAAAACTGTTCTTTTATATTGACTGTTATGGGAAATTCTGTTTTAATGATCATTTCAGCAGTGTCACGGTTGTCTGCAGCTGACTTGCTCGCATTGGCATAATTTATTTTAAAATTGTCAGTTTTATATTGTGTTTATAACACTTGCATGTTTTGGTACCTGAACAGATTGTGGTGATATTCCCTTGTGCACTACCTGTCTTAAAAATGAAACTTGTTTACTAATTGTTTTTGAAAACATGGTAAAAGCAGAAACCTGGGTTGTCAGCAAGTGTCCTGGGGTCTAGGACTGGGAGTGTCTAGTGGCACCTCTCACTAGTGCTATGGCAGCTTACAGTGTCCCTCTAAGTCTGAAAAGCTCATTAAAAGACCAAGTGCAACCTCCTGTAATCTACCCTTTGTTCCTCAGATGCCACATCAGGTTCACAGAGTTAAGGCCTGGAACTGCCTCTGAACTGGAAGAAGTGCTGCTACTGCAAGGTCTCCAGTCACATGCAAAATTCCCCAGCTGTGAAAGAACCAAGCTGGTTGGAAAAGAGACTCTGTAGGTATTCTAAAGGAACATGTTTTTAAGTGCTTTCATCGAAGCTAAAGGAAAAAAAAAAAGAAATTGTGTACATACTGGTTTGAGTCCAGGGTTTGTAGAAATATGCTGTGTAGACATAGAGATAGTCAAACAAAAGCCTTAGTGTGGAGCCAGGAAGCAAACCTTTCAGGTGTTTATAGTGGGAGGTGCAGGATGGAGACAGTACCTGCATCAGTCCCAGGGTTCCTCTGTGTCCTTTACAATGTTCTTCCAGCTCTACTGTCAGAGATACCCTGCAGCACCACTGCCTTAATCTTGTGGGTGTGACTGCCTTTTTATTTGTTTATGAAACGGTCTCTTGTGTTGTAGAAGTCACAACTTTTTAAAAAGACTATTGTTCCTGTTCTTCAGTTTTAGCAGTAAAGGACTGAGTGGAGCAGTGTCTAGTGGGTAGCTGCTCTGTGTCTTTGTCCTCTGTGATGTTTCAATGCAAAACATTAAAAAATTGTGTTTTTAAATGAATTTGTATTTCTTGAAGATTGACTTGATCTCACATGTTGCTGAAACAAGTCATGGTAAAATTCAATGGAGTTCCAGCTTGACCTTCCAGTGGACTGCTGAAGGTGGTGATGGGCAAGACTGTCGTGGTCACTTCGGTTTTCAGAACCCACTGCTCTCAAAAGAGGAAACGAGCCGAACAAAGTTACTTTTGACACTGTGCCGCCAACAGGGCACAGCCCACACCACGTCATGCAAATGCAGACACGAGTTTGTATAGCACCATAGCTGAGCGAGAGCTGAATTATGCACAAAGTAAGAACATGGTATGTGCAGTATAAAGGCCTGAACTGCAGTGACGCTGGAGTCAGCGTGTTGAGCTCCAGCCCAGGCAGGATCCTTTTTACTCTTGGGCAAATAAAGTGAATTTTGTGTCTCCTTCTAGCAGGGAATGGCAGGGATGGGTAGAAGGAATAGCTTGGTGGCCTGAAAGGGTTGAATTTCTCTCGAAAGCATAACGATCTGAAAGGGCCTGTATCCACTTACATCACTGAAAGCCTGTGCTTCAAAGTAAAACAAAACAAAAACACCTTTGGAAACTGAAAAAGTACAGCAGAAAAAAAACTCCCCCCCCGTGGTGCAGTGATAGCGATGGCTGAACTGCACGTTTCAATTTTGGAAAGACTTGAACGGTTCAAGTGTTATGGGCAACAAGTAAAGAGTTTTTTTAACTGCTTACGCACAGAGTTTTCCGAACAACAGGAGCAAAATCCAGAAGCCCAGAATCTGTCCATTGCATTTGTTGAGACAGCAACAGTGTTTAGTACTACTTACTGTGCAACATCTCTTAACCCCCCTCACCAGCTCACTCTGGTAATGCTGGCATGTAGACAGAGCTCTCTCTCTCGTGCACACACAGGCGCGTGTGCGTTCCTGCTCCAGACTGGTGTCTTTATCCAACCTCCAGTTGTTTCTCTGGGCCGCACGGCCAGCCACCAGACTCTTGCAGGCTGCGTGTACAAAACAGGGGACCGTTTCTGTGAGAGGCATGCTTCCTGATTTCTCCCGTGTAACCAAGAGACTCTTCCCAGAGTTGGGATGAGGGGGAGAGAGAGCGAGGAAAAAGAAAACACGACAGGCCCTCTGAGTCCCAACCTTTCTCTCTCCTGGCGCCCTGCGCTAATCAACCCCTATAATTTATGCAGAAAATATGATTTATATTTAATTTCACTACACTTGCATTGTTAATTTGAGATGTAATTAACGCGTCGCCACGGCAACTAATTTCGCAATGCCGTAAATTATCGCCGCCTTTTCATCAAAATTCAGTTACTTTGGCTCCTGTGTGCAATGTACTGATGCAATTAGGTTACCGGGGCAACCCGAAAGTGTTCAATTTCTTTTGTGTAATTGCAATGAGGCAGAAGTTTTTATATCAGAAGTCATGTTCGCTTTTTTTTGTGTTAACAAAGAGCACATCCACACGTGGGCTCTCCGGCAGAGGCGCGCGGCTCTCCCCGGTGCGTGCTGTCGCGGGGCCGGGCCGCCAGGGCCCTCCGGAGCCCCTTCCTCCCCAGCGCCGGAGCCCGGCGGGCCGGCCGCTGTCCCCAGCTTTGGCCTTTCGCTTTGGCCTTTCGCTTGAGAAGTATTTTATTGATTCAGTGGCCTGCGGAGATTCTTTTTTTGGGGGGGGGCGGGGCTACGACCGCGCCGACAAATCCGAGACGGACAGCTTGAGTGTGCACGCATGAGAACGGTCCCCGTGTGCAGACCGGTGTGAGGGTGCGTCTGTGAAAGCGGCCCCAGTTTCTGGGTGTGCAGTAGTGATAATGGCCTCTAAACAGCAGGCGTGGGGTGCACCAGTGAGAAGGGTCCCAGGTTTGGTGCCAGTCGGGTTGTGCATCGGTGACGGTGATCCTGATTTCATTATCAGTTTGGTGGTGTAGAAGTCTTAGTTGTGAACACTGATAACACCCCCAGTGTCATTACCAGCCTGAGTGTGCATCGGTACCCAGTTTCAGTACCAGCCCTGTTGTGCAGTGGTGTTAATGGTCCCCACGTCATTAGCGTCCTGGCTGTGCAGCAGTGACAACAGTCCCAATTTTCATCCTGCATGTACTCAGTAAGCAGTGCCCTCTGGGTCAGCAGTGCCATGCATTTCGAATTCATCTCCTTCTCTGGTGTGCAGTCGAAATATCAGGTCATTGACTGCTAAGCTGTGGTTAACTGAAAAGGTAATTAAATTTGTAAGCAGGATTTTTGAATCTTTTTAGCCTCTTCAGTAATACCAGAAGGGATTAAAAAATGTGCAGAAACACAGCTGCAGTTTGACTACACCGCCAGCAGAGGCCAAAGAAATTCCGACCTACTGGAGTTTTAATAAGAATCTTTTAATTGGCTTTCTCATGGCTGCATATGTTATACATTCAAAATGACAATTATGGAGAATACAGAACAAACAAAATCCTGTGCTTGTGTGATATACACTTTTGGAATTTCCTCAATTATGTGACTTTTGAGCAAGAATAATACACCATGGCCCCCTCTCCTGATTTTTCCCGGAATCTTTTCCACTGGTGTCTTTTCAGTCATGACCTTTTGGCCAATATCAGGACTCCTGGTCACGGCAGGAGTTCATTTTCAAACGAACGTGTGTTGTGTATCTGCGTTTGCAAGAGAAGGAGATTCCCCTGATAGGGCTCTTTTCCTCTCCTTGTTGTCCCTGCTGACACCAGACAACAGATCAACATTATTTATAAAGACAGGCTAATGTATAGAGAGTGGGAACAGTGGATCTCTGGAGAGGGCCGAGGGGCTGCTTTGCAAAAACATGCTCTTTAAAAGCAGGATTTCCAGTGCAGCTACAACATGGCACATTGCAAAAACAATGTGTTCCCAATGTCATCCTTTCATTTCAGTACAGGGCAGAGCAGTTCAGTTGCTGCAAAATGTAAATGTTTGTGTTTAAATAAAGTGGCGACAACATGATTTTTTGCACCGTGTTTTTTTTTAAACCTTTTTCAGGTTTGTTAATTATTTAAAAACGTATGTAAAGATGCTGCTTTAAATGTGATGGAGAGCCTTGTTTTCCAGGTTTTGCTTTCTGCTGTACTTGACTGTGTTTCAGTGGCGTTTGTGGGTGGACAAACCGGGTTCTTTGTCAGAACCGAAAGCCCTGATGTGAATTATATGCAGTGTGTAAAATAACACTGGCTTGAAAATTGGTCATAAATTGATACCCCAGATTTTCCCATAATGAGTTATTGGATGTGCAACCAGAACTAGGACTGTGAAAACTGTAATATATATACTATATATAACAGTTAAAAAAATCAACTGGCAGGTAATGCCATTTTTTATTATTTGATGTTTTTATTCAAAGTGACTTATATTTGTATTTATACAACTAGGTATTTACTGGAGCAATCCTGCTCAGAAGGAGGAATTTGAACCCGCAAACTTCTACCTAGGATGCAAGAGCCTTAGACTGTTCCTCACGGCTGCCTGACAGTCATGCATCGAAACGTAAAGCTGCAGAATTGGTTTTCTTAAGAAAGGCAGCCATTCATAAAATATTCTTGTTCCAGAGATTAATTATTTCTGTTTGGTAATGTCATTGATTTTCTGATGAAAACTCCTAAGATCTCTAGAGATGGAAACAAAGAAGGAATTGTGTCATGGCTGTTCCAGTTTGCTTTGGTTGTCTCGCGATGACTTACCAAGCGTAGGGACTTCCGAGCTTTCCTGTTTTAATGTTATATTTTTTTTCCTCTTTTGTTCATTGTGTTAGTGAAACTCCTGGCCTGTTGAACACAAGGAGATGAACGGTGTGTTCAAGCTTTCTATTCCTGGATGTGCAGCCTATTTAAAATCTGCACATGGTCCAATATATCCACCTGCAGCTCTAAAACATAACATGAGGATGAGAACCACCACTTGGTTACAAGCTAATAAATCTGATGGAAGACTACCTCTAAATGAGCTCATTCTAAGTTGTTTTGTTACCCTAAGAACTTTTTTAAAAACGGAAATATATGGTATTAAATAATTTACACCAGCTCTCTTGCTGAGGTTTCTGTATTTTAAACATGAGAAAATCAGATTCTGTTTTGTGATATTGTTTCGCTTGGTGGAACTTAGGGATTGAAGTTCATTTTGATTTTAATTGGTCCAAGGTTTCTCCTTAAACCCCCCAAAAAACATATTGATTTTCAAGGTCTTGCGTGGATGATGAGCACATTTATTTGGGCTAGAGACAGGTCTCTTGAATTTGTCTTTCAGGTTTAATGCCTTTAGCTTGACAAGTCTGCTGAAATATTCGGAGTTTAAATCAACAAATGCTTCACACGAACGTATTCCTCATCAGGAATGTATCAGTTGTATCAATGTATCAGTGTGTCAGTTAATAATTATTATGTGTTAAACAAAAAATCCTTTTTTTCCCAGTGTGGTTGGCCTCAATAGCAGCCATAGCTAGTCTGAATTTGAGATGAAAACTTAATTTACTGATAAACATGTCCGTGCTCAGATCCAGAGTGTCTGTTTCAGCAGGTACATGCCAAGGTTCACAGAGAGGTTTTTTTATTCCTCTCTAAAAGCTGAGAAAACCCACTGTAGCGAGGAGGGCAGAGAAAGTAAAACACTCCGGAGGAGTTCTTATACGCATCCTTTTCCTTCCTTAAAAAAAAAAAGTTTATTTTACTTGTTTATTTATCCAAATCTAAATTCCGCGTTTGCTTTTGTCGCGTTTATTCCCATTTTACCAGCGCAAGGGGCCCTGGAAGACGAGTTACCAAGGAACACAAAATTTTAATTAGTGTATTTTAATCATTCAGGCTTTTCGAGCTAATCCACAGACCCCTGAGAATTCCCAAGATGCTGCTCTGTGCTGCTTTACCATTTATTGTTGAGTCTATTATAATTACTGTTAGCAGGTGGGGGCTGGGAGACGTTTATTGTGTTTTTCCATCTTTATTATAATT